GTATTGGAATGATCTTAAATGTTATGAATTAATAGGATCTTCATACTCTTATCGCCCCTAATCCTTTATTAATTAAGTCACTTTCATTTATTTAAATCCTTTTACAGATGTAAAGGTCTTATATTTCTGGAAACATACACAGCTTTAGACGAGGCGATAATGCAGGAGCGATTGCCAAAGTTCCTGAATATTGTCAAAGACGTTACGGGAAACCCCGACTATTCCATGTATAACTTGTCTTTACGAGAAGATTGGAAAACATCCAAAAAATTCGCCAGTTCTGTAATTGGTACCTACACAGTTAAAAGTATAAAAATAATATTTTACATCTATTTGATAGAATTTCTTTATATCGTATCTTTAGGTTCCCAAGAATTACCCTGCAATGGATTAATGGGAAATAGTCTCGATAAAAAAGCCGATCAAGACAAAGTTATTTCGACTGATACGGAAAAAATAACCAAAAATCGACTGTGTAACATCAAAGCTTAGAAGTCAACTTAATGTTTACCAATTTAGAAAAATTACGTTTATCATTGTGATTATTATTGCTATTTATTTCTGCTAGTTATGTATTATATTATATAATTATATGTATTACTATCACCCTTAGAACTTAAAACACTAGCTGAACATAGAAAAGAAAGGGAAAATATTTTATTCACTTAGGTATTATCTAATAGGAAATTTTTCCTTCGTAGTAAATTGTTTTTGTATATCACTCTGCCTTACATTTTTATTTTCAAACAGCATTATCTTATGTAGAAAGGCTTATAGTTACATGTAGTGACCGGTGCTATTAGAATCTGTTATATTTAATTATTCGATCTTCTAAGGGTTTGGCAGTATTTTCCAAAGTATAATATTTTTATAATAACTAACAGCCAGAATTAACTCTGACGTACCTGAATTTACCGTTTCAAAGTCGGAAAAACTATTAACTTCATTATCTTTCTTGTACTTAAACACTCACAATTTTCATACACTGCAAAAAATTAAAGGCTAGTTTATTTAACTGCCACATTTGTTTAATAATGGAGCTTATTTATTTGCCATTTGCATTATATAAATAAGAATTGATCATGTAATTTTATGTGAAAATTTGAGATCAGTCAATTTCTGTATATTTTGTTTACTTTCAGGTAATTGTAATTTTCAAATGTAATTTTAATAAAATGTCCAGAAAATCCCTCAAGTGTTTCAAACACTTATTCCTAATAAATAAAACAGGAAAAAAATAACTTTTCTGGTAATCAACCATTTCAAATTAAATGCGTTATTGGTTTAATTAATGATTTTAACCGGCAGACAATGGAATATGTGGGCATATTATGATGGTAGTTTTACTCATGAATCAATTTGTACTCATATTTACCCACTTGAAATTTTACGTCATTTTTCAGAAAACATATTATCTTGAAATTTTATTTTTGGTGTAATAGGTCTAAAGGTATAACGCTAAAGGACGTAGTTTATTTTTAAGGTGGAATTTGTAAGTATGTTAAGCTGGTGGGGCTTGTCGATTGTATGTTCTAAGCAAGATCGTATGTTAATACAAGTTATATAATACAATTTTACTAAATAGGTGAAACAAATAATCACGCAAATTGAAGTTTTTCAATTGGAGGTTATGTAATAACTACATGCGTAGACGGCTTGTTTAATGTTTGTCGCGAGCAAATGGCCGTAGGAGCATTATCAAGTTGTGTTCGGTCGTCCAATGCGCAGCCGATTTGCGCGTGGGCAAGGAGATTTTTGCTTACGTTTTGCCATTCATTCGGGTCGGATTAAATTATTTCTCCTAAATGTAGTATTTTTGTTTTATTAATTATTGATAACTGTTCGTTTTATAACGTGCAAAGTGTAAGACGAAAATAAAACAATGTTTAGTGTTTATTGTGAATTTTCATAGTGTAAAAATGGATAATGGTATCTTATTGGAGTAGTAATAGCAGAAAAGGTAAATCAAATTTAAAATTGGTACAAAACATGGCGTTGTAAATACTTGGTTAGAAAAAAATTCTTATCGGTTGACAAAATTTAATAATAAGAGGTTGAAATTAAGTAATGTTTATGATTATATTAATGTTAGAACACTTGTCTGAGATGACTCGATAAGCTTTGGTTAAGGCTACTAAATACATTGTTTTAAAATGTACACATCAAAGAGATGTTTTTAAGATCCACATCAGACATCACTAAAAAAATGAAAAGTCGGAGTATATATGCTAGAGGGTGTGCATGTAGGGGGTTTAGGGGGGATAAAGCACACGTAGTATGCCATTTATGGTATAATCATGGCTATATTTTGACTTATTCTCTTCACCTACAAAAAAACATGGCTGTTTTGAGCGGAAATGGTAGTTTGCTAATTAAAAAATTTTCCATCTTTAAAATTGCATGGAATAACAAAATATGTGATGAATATTACGACAATAATTCTGTAGCAAATTTTAAATGTTACGTAATTATTGTTGGAACTCAGAAAAAAATTCTTCCATGTGAATTAGACTTAACAAGAAACTTCTGATCATATCATAAATCGAAAACCTATCAACAATTAATAAAAATGATATAAACAAGTAAATTTTTAACTTTTTTTAATATACTTAACGGAGCTCGGGCCGCATTTGAATTCATCGTAACTAAGCAAGGGAGAGGCGCATAGGCGTAACTAATTACACCAGGCACAAGTATATGAGTACCACTCATTTTCCCTCCCCTGAGTGGCTTCACTCCCCTCCTCTATATCTCACTTTATACTCCATCCCTATTACGATTCCGTGGCCCATGAGTTTAACTAAAGAATGTTTTATGATTCTTTAGAATCAAGAGATAAAACGAACTAAGTGTTATCCTGGTCATGTTCACTTGAAGAAGGTAACTATGTTACCGAAAAGTGCTCCGGACAACTAAAGTGTCGAGTTTTGGCGTTGGGGTTTAAGCTATTTCGTTTGTTCTACAACAACCGCCGAAGTTTTTCCAATCTTCATTTTAGGTCAGTAGATATATTAAATTACCTAAACTAGAAAATACCTACATAGGTACCTCTCAAGAAATTTTTGCAGGATACAAGTGAAGTTTTTTCTTCTCAGTATATCACAGATTGTTGAATTATTTACATTGCTGGGTAAAAATTATGAAACGACTAATAAACAATTATATTTTATTAAATAATCATATACATCTGTTCCACAAATCTTAAAAAAGATAATGAAACCTGCCTTTTTTACCTTTAGTTGAAACAATTTTACTAATTATTTAAACGGTCATATTTATTTTCTCTTCAATAACTTATACAATAGATAGATATAATAACTATTAGAGAAAAGTTTGATAATTATCAGGTACTTATTTATTTTATGAAAATAATTTGTTATCTATTTTTTTGTTTGGTAATACATTTTCATCACTTTCTTGTTTGGCACCAATCCTTGACATAAACCGGATCTTTTCTTTTTATTGGAACTTGCTGCTTCACTTTGAATTACACCCAATTCTTCTAATGTAGGTTGCGGTAATTGTTTAGCTTCACAAATTATGCTTTGTTGAAATTCTTTCTCTTTACTAGATTCTTCTTGGGACTTCTGTATATCAGAATCATGAGCATACTTGCAATTATGACCAAAACGACAACGTCCCTTTCGATAATTCCAGCAAATTTTCTTACCATTGATTGTTTTCACATTATCTTGTAAATTTACCATTTTTACATGTTTTTCTAATATTGCAGTTTTTGCTTGTTCTTCTTCCTTAAAGGGATTTTTAAAAACAGACGTTCCATCATTATTCTCTGGTGAACCATTAAAAGCTGGTTTAGGTAGTTTCTCTAAAGGTGGTTTTATTGAGCAGTTTTCTTCTGTAGATTTACTAAAACAGTACCAGCTGACCGATATTTTATTTGAATAAATAACTTGTACTATTAAGATTTAAACGGATATTGACAATTGTTATTGTTTTGTTTATATGCCTTTTACTAACCCTAGGATTTTATACGAATCTTCTTCACTTTCTGAACTTGACGATGAACCAGAGCTCTCATAATCTGCTACCAAAGACATGTTATTTTTGAAATAAATTAACACAACCCACAGAATCTTGTTTGTTTTTTAATAATGTCTTTCCTGTCTGCCAACGTTTTGTGTTTTCACTTAACTATTTTTTAATTTTATGCAGTAAACATAACCTATTTCATATAAAAACAACTTTTTGTGTTTAGTTTTTGTTTTTAGACAACCCGTCAAACTTCAAGGACATGCGTGACATGTGATTAACATGAAAGTATGTAATGTGGTCTGTCTGTGGGAATATCAAACACATTACATTGTTAAATTATTGTTAGACTACAAAACGTGGTTAAAACATATTAACCAATACCAATAAAAGAAATAGATACACATTAACAACCTAAGTAGGGCTTTCTGTGGATCGTCAAGTTACTTCCATAGATAGTTACCTCCTACCTCCTACTCTCAAAATTTATCAAAACCACTGGTATCCAGATGTAACTATTTTATTATTTCTATAGTACATACGTTATAGTGTCACGGCGGCAATTTAAATTCTTTGAACGCGATTGACTAGATTCGGAAGCCACATTGTCGATTTTATTCGTACTTTTATTGGTTCCTTCAAATTTACCAAATGCTCTTTGTTATTTGTCATCTGGTGAAGTTTCTGTACTTCCCGTTTTATAAAACGTCAGCGCTCTGATGGGAAATAAAATGACTGTAGATAATTGAAAGGACCAATTCAAACACATAGTACTTTGTTTCGAAATTAGAAAGTTTAATAACTTTATTGTTGTAAGTAATGGGGATGGACAAAATTTAGCTTACTAAATATCTATATATAGCTTCTATATTTAAAGCACCTATTTGTAAGCTACTGCTTCCAGTTTAACTTTCTTCTGTCTAAAAAGTTTTCATTAATTAAGTTAGAATAGAATTGCTGCAACAATATCCGCAATAATTATTTTAAATATTCAAACTATCGTTTCAAGTTACTTCGTGCCAAGTCTTCGGACACTTTGAAAAGTCGTTTTTTGAAAATAAGAATAAACTAAAATAGATCATTGTAACAAATATGGAGAATGTTATAAAAAAACTTGCACCATATAGATTCTGTTTTGATTAAGGCCTAAGGCCACTCATGCTAGCGAAACGATAGGAATCAACTCAGTTACCTACTGGCTGCGAAAACCTTTATCAATTTATTGCACGATATAAACTAAAAACACTTAATTAAAAGGCGATCTAACATTAAATCATAAGAATGTGGAATACTTAAAACTATTGACAAATGATGTACGAAATGTGGCAATTTTTCCAATAAATCGAAATGTGAGTTGGAACACATAGTAGAAGTGAAACTTCAACGGACAAGTGGAAAAACGAATGGCAACGGACAAGAGGAAAAACGAATCGCAACAAAATTTGTACTTCAAGTTTTACGGGAAGATTGCTAATGTACCTACTTGACCAGATTGAAAATCTGCCCGTAAAACTTGAAGTAAAAATTTTGTTGCCATTCGTTTTTCTACTTGTTTGTTGTCATTCGTTTTTCCACTTGTCCGTTGAAATTTTACTTCTACTATGTGTCCCAGCATACATTTCGTTTTCACAGGTTTACTGCAAATCATGATTTGGTTTTTACACAGACCGCAAATAGAGGCAATGATGTTCAGCTACGTGGAGGGCAGAGGTAAGAAAACAGCAGCTGAGCACAGCACACGCCACCGGTACTCTAGTGAACTCTCTGCCCTTTCGTGACAGAAAAACTCGTAATACCTCTCGTCTATAAGGAAAATTCACTTTAATAATATATTTGTAACTTTTCACTCAACAGTACGGCGGGATTCGAGCCCACGTTGTTTCAAATTTTGACTTTATTCCTTTAGTATCAGTAGAAGGATGAAGTCGTTTCGTTAAAGGTTCCTTACATCATGGTATGAGTTTACTATGTTGGGTTGTTATCCGTATTGTAAAGAAAAATGAAAATGAACAATAACGACAGCTTTTACCACTACTATGCCTTCATTGAAGGTCGTTAAAACAAAACATATGATATTATCTACTGCTTACATACTGTAACTAATAGTAATTTATTTAATAAAAGAAAAAAACATTAAGTGAATAGGTGACTACTTATATTGCTTAAATTGTGTAATAACAAAAGGTAAGTTTGGTCCTTTTTTCTTAGTTGTAAGACTAACGAATTCACCAACTCGGAATAAATAGTACTTTATTAACAAACAATGTAATTCTTAACAATAGAAAAGCAGAAAGACGAAGGAAATGCGTCAAAACGAGCAAAATGATGAATTAGCGCGGATTAGACACGAAGTAAGAGAACCTCGACCTATACGCTATACTCGAGTATACTTCATTTACTTTCTGTAGCGATGTGCCCTTTCCAATGTCTTGGATGCGCGTTGGCAAAATGGTAGGTAAGGAAAAAAAAAGTTCATTATACTTTCATTAAACATACATACTTTTTCATACAGTACCTGCCAGAAGTTTTGTTCAATCATTAATAATAGTGCGAGTCGAAAACAAGCGTTAAAGCCTTTAATATGTCTTCAAATGTAAATAAACATCTCGTTGATATTTTCAGTAGTAAATGGTACCAATAACAGCACATTTGAGCAATGAAATTCTAGTGGATAAAATGGTCAATTTTTCCGTGCAGTACTGTACGGATTGTACGCTCCTCACCGGTTAAGAGAGTTGTCTCCTTCCTTTTCTGGCCTAGTGCTATTCTTTTCTACTTTGCGCCGGTCAAACTGAAGGTCACATCGCTACAGAAAGTAAACGAAGTATACT